GTGGTTGTTGTACTGGAATTCGGCCATGGGTAAGAGTTCGTCCCAATCGTCCTGCCGCTGGTTAACGAAAAGCCGCAGGTACTGTTCCAACTCTTGGTTTACCCGCTCGGTCTGACCATCAGCCTGGGGGTGGTAAGCTGTTGTGGCCGTGAGCTTGATGCCTAGCATCCGGTAAAGTGTTCTGGTGAACTCAGCGACGAACTGGGGGCCACAGTCGGAGACGACTTGCTTCGGGAGGCCGTGTAGCTTCCAGACGTTATTGAGGTAAAGCTGCGCGGCTCTGAGTGCAGTGATAGTGGTGTTCGTAGGAATGAAATGAGCTCGTTTACTCACTGAATCTACCACATTCATAATGGTGTCTGCACCGTGTGCGTCCGGAAGTTCCACAACAAAGTCTACGCTGACCGTATCCCACCTGGCTTTTGGCACAGGGAGGGGTTCGAGTTCTCCGGTCGGGGCCTCCTCTGGATCTTCGTACGCAGACAGAGGTCACAAGTTTTGACGTACTGTCCGATGTATCTTGACATTTGGGGCCACCAGTAGCTGCGCGTAACCAACTCCAGCGTCTTCCATTGTCCTGCATGCCCTCCAATCCGAGAATCGTGGTGTTGGAAGACGATCCTTCGACGCAGTTCAGGATCGGGCGGAACATATATCTTGCCTCTGAACAACAATAATCCGTCCGATTCCGTCCATTCAGCTGCCCGCACAGACTTGACATTGGTCTTTTTCAACTCTTCCGCTGCCTTTGCCACCGCCTCTTCCAGTTCCACATCCTTCATCCCTCACCTAACGTCCCTCAGAACCTCTCACTCTTTTCCATCCGCAGTGATCCCTTCCAACGCCCTGATGTTGAACATTTCCGGCCGGAGTAATGTGATGTCCCTGTTGTCCGAATTGCCTGAGCCATGATCTTCCTGCCGGGAAAGTGCATCCGTCTTCCCCATAGTCTGTCCGGGTTTGTGATGAAGCGTGAAGTTGAAACGAGACAGGAAGAGTGACCACTGTGCTTGACGTCTGTTGAGACTTTTCGACGTAATGAAGTACTGCAGGTTCTTGTGATCGGTCCAGACCTCGAACTTGTGCTGGGCCCCTTCAAGGAAATGTCGCCACTCATCTAATGCGCGAATGATTGCCAACATCTCCTTGTTGTGAATCTTGTAGTTGCGTTCCACCGGGTTGAGGCTCTTGGACATGAACGCGACTGGGTGCCATTTTCCATCCGCTTCCGACAGTTGAGAGAGAGCGGCTCCAGTCGCAAAATCAGAGGAGTCAGCTTCCAAACGATAAGGTGCGGAATCGCTCGGGAGTATGAGAACTGGTGCGGTTGTTACAAGTTGCTTGAGCTTGTTGAAGGCGTCTTGTTCCGCGCGGGTCCACTTCCAATTTGGCATCTTTCTTAGTGAGGTCGAAAAGGGGACGCGCGTGGTGGGAGAAGTCCTTGATGAACCGTCTGTAGAAGTTGACGAAACCTACAAACGACTGAACTCCCTTCTTTCCGCCCGGCTCCGGCCACTCGGTGATAGCTGCGACCTTGACAGGATCCATTTCCACTCGGTTTTCAGAGATGATGAGGCCTAGGTACTCAATTGACGTTCGTTCGAATTCGCACTTCTCAGGCTTGAGGTAGAGCTTGTGTTCCTTCAAACGTTGAAGTACCAGCTTGGTGATACGTCTATGTTCGGCGACAGTCTTGGTGAAGATAAGAATATCGTCAATATATACGCATACAACTCCCTCCATGATCAGATCATGAAAGATGTCGTTCATCATCGTCTGGAAAGTCGC